TTCAGTGATACCTACTTTTGCTAGTTTGGCGAGCATAGTGCGGTGTGCGACGCTATCAAAAGCTTTGGCCAAGTCCAAGAAGATAACGTGAACTTGTTGTTTGTTGTCCCATCTAGTAGTCCAGTCTTCCCAAACGATCATCAAGTTAGTGGCACATGACCACCCGGTTCTGAAGCCATGCTGGGTGGGATGGACCATGTTGTTTCTGTTAAGGTAGTCCCAAACAACATCTGCAATCAGGCTTTCCAGTACCTTGGAAAGCATGGGGAGTAATGCTATTGGTCTGTAGTTACATGGTTTCTTTCGGTCTCCTCCCTGGAAGATTGGTGAGAGGATGGTGCTTTTCCATTCTTTGGGGAGTTGACTTACTTCCAACGAGTGCGTGAACAGGTTGCATATGGGTATGCTTAGTACTTCTGCACAGTTGCGTAGGACAACTGGTTTTATGTCGTCACAGCCCGAGATTTCCCTATTCTCAGTGTTGAGAGTTTCTCAGACACTTGGTTTGACAAAATCTTCACGTTCATCGGCTTTGTATCGCAGTCCTGAGACTTCTTTACATTGCTAGATGTTGGTAGCGGATGTATTACTGGGTTGAGTTGCTCGTCAAATCGACTGCTAAACAGTTCCGATATCTCATTGCTCTTCAATGGTTCTCCGGCCGACCCTATGCTCAGGTTTAAGCCCTAATTCGTCGGTTTGCGTTGTGACATAAACCGATACAGACTTTTCGGATTACAGCTTAACTGTTCAGCCAGGTTGCTTTGGTATGTATACTTGTCACTACGAATTCTTATATTACACAAGTTTCTTAAGGTCTTGTCGCTGTGATGGTCTGATTGATTGCGTGATGTACGCCACCGATACCATGCCTTCTTTTTCATCTCTATTTGTCTTTGGGTTACGCGAGTTACCCAAGACCGTTTGAGAGGTGGCCGTCTGGTTAATTTTGGAAGACCCTTTTCGATAGCGCTGCAGATAATATCTTTAATCTGTATCCAGTGTTCGTCTATCCATGATAAGTCCCATTCTTGTGGCGACATAGCCTCCAGGAATTCGTTGTTTATGAGATGGTAGTCTGCTTTTCGGTAACAGCGGAATGCTTCTGTTTCAACTATTGGTAGTGTCTCTTTGGTTATCAGAGAGAATCTCACCTATGCGTTATCGCTCTTACCTAAAGGGGTTGGACACAGATATCGTCCGCCAAAAGATCATCGTCTGTTGGAACGCAGTCAAGTGGTGATCCTTTTCCGTCTGGTCCCCATCTGTTATTTTCCTGAACCTTCTCTATTAGTCCTGCTTTCATGAACGTATTTTGCAGTTTTTGTTCGGAAGATTTATGCCCACATCTTACTTCACACTCCGGGTTGAGTGTCGGTGTGTTGAAGTCTCCAGCGAAGACTACGTGGTCATAGGCTACCGAGGTGGTTGTTGCGATGACACTGAGCCTATGAAACCTCTGCACGGATACAAAAGGCTCGACTGGCTTTTGCCAGTTTGCGCCACCTATGGCGCCGCCGTGATATCCGTTTGTCTATTAAGGGTCGCGTGTACTGCACAGCAGTCCGCTCTGTTCTACTGTACAGCTGTGAAACATGGCCATTGAAAGTGGAAGATATAAAAAGGCCTCAAGTGTTTGACCACCGTTGCCTTCGTAGTATAGGACGTATTCCGTAGTGTCACCATGTGAGTAACATAGAAGTCAGGAGTAGAGTTTTAGGGAGAAGAGGTAAATCGGTTGACGAGGTTATAAACCTTCATCGATTGAGATGGTTAGGACGCGTACTACGTATACCCAGTCGCCGATTGCCTCTTCACACAATGTTGGCGGAAGTAGGTCCAGGCTTGAAAAAGGCCCGAGATGGCCAGACTAAAACATGGCACCAATGTATGAAGTCTCTGACTGTTGGTTTGAGCCATGTAGGGTGATGCAGACTAGGTGTTTGGGGTCTGCGGGACAAGAGGACCCAGTGGTTGGACACTCTAGGTGATATGGCTCAGAACCAAAGTCAGTGGTGCAGATGTATACACACATTATCCTCATCTTAACAACGCTATACCGAATCTCACCATTTTGTCATTCCTCTTTTCTTTCTTCTCGTACTTTATATTCCTTTTGAATGCATTCTCTTATCTTCATCCTTCACCTCACTATCTTTCTACTTGATGAACTGACGTGAGGTGTGGCAACTTGGACCGTTACGCAGTAATGCCTGGTCCTCTGTTGATATTGATTGATTGGTTGATGGCACTGAGCAATTGTGCCTTATGCTCTGTCGTACAAGGGGGAGGCCTATATATTACTCCTATTGGTTACTTGGTTCGGTTTATGGTGAAATAGCACCATAAGGAGTCTGGCAGTAAGCTGTACACACCATGAGTCACTTCCTTGACTTTTAGATGAGTGCTAGTATATATGGCAACTCCTCCGCCTTCTTTGAATTGCCTGTCCTTTCAAAACAGGGTCATGTTAGGCAAACATATTTCCTTATCCACTGTGTCTTCTGACAGCCATGTCTTCGTGAGGAAAATTGTGCCTGCTTGCGGATTATGGCACATTGCCTTTAGCTCCAACAGTTTACTCCTAAGACCTCTCACATTGCTGTAGAAGCATGTTAAAGGTCTACGTTCTGGGCTTAGTGCGATATGTGGACTTGTTTGGAGGCTAGTGTGCCGTTGCACCGGATTCTGCCTGCCAGTCCAGTAGGGACTGGCAGTAGTGATTTTAAAATCGCGCTAGATTATACAATACAATTGGTCGACATATCTGGACGATTAAAACAACACAGAAATGAGCAATTTGGTACAATATATTCTGTGATAAAAAAGGTAGCTCAGAGTTCAGGCAGGCCGTCAAGCAAGTGTTTCGTATCCATACCGAAATTTCTTCTGTCTGTGACCCACCAGGGCTAATCTGACTTCCCAGGTCAATGCATTTAACTACTTCAACCCTCAGTGGTTGGACAGGGAACCAAGACTGACTAGTGCTGTGAAAACAACTTGTATTTGAATGACGAAAAACGTATCCCAAACATTCTCCAGTTGCCACTCGAGGTGTCTAGAAAACTCTGCATCTTCGCTTAAAGGGACTATGTCATTTGCATACTCTAGTAGGTGTAAGAAGTTTTCTGCTGTGGCAAGATTAATTTCTGTAAAGTCAGGCGATGAGAGGGTGACCTACGTAAGGACATTCATGATAAAGTTGGAGAAGAATGCAGAGATTGCAACTTCTTCACAAACACCGATCGATATACATAACTCACCATAGACTTTGACGCATACAGGTAGGTATCCGAGTACAGAGCCTTCAACAGGATGATTTAATTACCCCATGTGTGTTCTATTGAGTGACGTTGCCATAAGACCTCTCGATCGATAGAGTCGAATGCTGACTTCATGTTGAGTAATATAACTGGTGTTGGGTGCCGGTAACTTTGTTTGCATTCCGAAACCTGGCAGGGAGTGAACATATAATCGATACGCTTCGGACCATGTCTGGAACCTCCCTAGCTTTCGCTGGTGTCTGTTCCCAAAGTTTACGCAGACGTCTTACAACTAAAGAACGAGGAATCTCAGATAAGGTGTCCATCAAATTAATTCCTCTGTGGTTATCACAGAAGGATTTCTGACGTTTCTATAAAACTGGGACAATCAGTGATTGTGACTAGTCACAGAATACCATATGTGATTCTCAAACGTCAGCTAACACATCAGTTAATCTAACCAATAGTCCGCGACCAAGATCCGTAAATACCTCCAGTATAAGTTCATCTGCCCTTCATCTTTTCAGTCTACCAAGGGTTTTTTCAACTTCTGCGAGTGTTAAAGACCCTATTTCAGTGTTCCACTCAGGATCTAACTGAATAACGAGCAAGGAAAAAGTTTTTGGATGCCATTTGAAGTGTTCTGTTCATCATTCAAGATATCTCGGGAAGTGAATCGCAGACCAACCCCCCTCTGTTGTAGTCTCACTAACCATTGACTTTCAGCCCCAATTTCCCAGACAACTCTAAATAACTGTCTACTCTCATCTATCACCGCCTTTCCCATCTCTTGAGCTTCTTCCTCCCCGCCACCCCCATGGCTCACGGTCGTCGGATCCACTTTCGCTAGTCAACATTTGAGCTGCTTCCGCTCTTCTCGTCCTCAGAGCCTGCAGGACTGCGTTCACGCACATTGTTTCGGAATATGCTGGCAAGTTTCACAAGTCCTTTGTAGTTTTTTTTCAGGGTCAATTACGGTTTTTGACGCTGTGGTAGGATGTAATTCCATTTCGGTCTATTTATCAGGTTCACCACACAATGAAAATATCTTTTACTGGGTTGCGTTCCGGATACAATTTGGTATCCATATTTATATTAAAGTAACTCCACAACTTTGAGAAATTCCACTACCTGTGTCATAAAGAAGGAGTTAGAATGATGACTGCCCAAACCATTTTAGAGTTACTTTGATATACATATATAAATAGACACTCGTAACGTTTGGGGGTCTAGTTGTATGGCTGTTTTCAAGGATGTTTAGAGATTCTCACTTTGTGTTACAGATTACCTCGCGTTTTACCGAAATAGTATGCAATTACGAAAATCTGTTCTTATTTTTGAAGAGTAAGGAGCAGAGGCACTAATATAGAAACATTACATACACATTACACATAGGCTTAACTCATGATGACGTGACGTATGAAGGTACGTTCACTTGTAGTATTATTTCTCACTAGATGTCGCGCAAGCTCTTAATGAGAATGCTGTAATTCATCTGGTATTTTTACATGCTCTCAGAAAGTTATTCCAACCCGATGCGATACTTCTGTCTGACCCTTCTGTAAAAATAGTAGGGTCATCAGAGCTGTTGTACGTGACAGGTATTCAGGTGACAAGTGTGAAGTCATACCCTGTTATCACAGTGAAGAACACCTTTATCCTACCAGATGTTCTCCGCTTATTCAGCCTGGCGATGGAAATAATAAAGGTGAGTTTGGTAATATTGTGAGGTTATATTTATGCGTACGTATCTCTGTGACCCAGAGAAAAGCCAGATCTACATATAATATAAGTGGCGGCTTTCAAGGCAGATTCAAGTGAGTGAACGACTGACTTGGTTTGTATATACTCCGCAATGAAACCAGCGACAAAAGCATCTCCAGCACCATTTGTGTCCACAATCCGATAGGCATCCAGCTGTTTGACTGGGAATTCATTGACCTTTAAATCAGAAGATTCAACATACACGACGGCATCTTTGCCCTGTGTAATGATGACTAAACGATTGCTTTTTCCTTCAGCCGAAAATGGTCTGCTGGCTATGTACTGAGCTATTCCATGCGCTGTTGAGTGAGAAAGGTTATGGGCTTCTCCATACGCTAGTGCTTCGGAATGATTTCCAAAAACAATGTTTGCGTATGCTATCATTTCATCCACTTCTTGAGTTTTGAATTGTGGCAAAAAAGGAGCACTCAAATTGAAGCAGAACATTTTTCTGGAAGCCAATGCATGTTTAGCCACTTCAAGCATACCTTCATAACAAGAAGATATTACATAACCCTTAAAAATAATTGAATGTAACAATATACGAACCTACTGTAATATAGTAAAAATGTGCTCTCTCCACGAGTTTCCAAACATGTGGCTGTTTAATATGATCCAAAGAAAGATCACATGCTGCCCCTAAATGAGTAACCATACTACGGTTTTTCTTGTTGATTAGAACTGCTACTTTCCCAGTTTCTAGAGATTTCTTTGTGACTTGAAATTCTGTTATCAGTCCCAAAGCTTGACATTCATTTTCAATACGTCTGCCCATCTGGTCCTCACCTACACATCCCACAAATGAACATGAGAATGGGTTTTTCAGTATCCACTGAATCATTTTGACTGTATTCAACCCAGATCCTCCAGCAACGTATCTTACGTCAGGTCTTTTCATCACTTCATTATAAATACTCATATGCTTTTTTTCAGCCAATATTGCATCATCTGTTTCCAGTCCATAGAATCTAAGCAGTTCTTCTTCAGCGCTGCATAACATATCCAACAACGGATTACCCATGCCAAAAACATATCCTTCCGGAATTGTTTCCATGATGACTGAATGACTTTCGAACTGCACGGTCACAATTTATCAATTTTCACCATATAATGCACGACCAATGACTGAATAGTTTTACATCTCTGAGATGTTATTGGTAGTTTGCAGGTCATATTTTTACTTCACTTGTTTTATTGGACGTTCTTTGCGTTGGCTTGTAACGTAGGAGTATTTTTCAGGTGACCAGTACATTGTATAGTTTGAACAGCCAATGAGCATTGGTTTCTTTGCCAAATGTGTTTCACTTATACCTTGTAAACATTTCCTAACCTTTGGAGGCATTCAGCTTTTTTCGTTTACACTAGTGTTTGCTTTCCATCTCAATTGTCTATACGAGTTCTTTCTATGATAGATGATTTCTATAGTTCCATTCTTCGCTGCTTCAGCACAGTCATCGTATTCTTGAAAGTCTATCTCTTAAGGCTGTGCGAAATTCTCGTCATTATTCTGTTGAGTTATCTTATTTACACCCTTATTCGATGTACTGAACGTCTAAACGTAAATTTATAACCACGCTCATTACCATCTAAGAGATTATTAGGGAAAGATCATTGTAGCATTCAACTATTTTGTCAGTTCGAAATGATAATTCACATTGTGAATTTCCTGTTTTATTGATAATAGGTTTAAATCTAGTGAGTTTGTGTTGAGAGGCACCTTATTGAAATTTCTTGAACTAACAGAATATACTACTGTACAGTATGCGTATTTAGGAAGTCATTACAGTAGTCTGATGTTCATTTCAGATGGGAATTACCCTATGTATTTTCTGATGGAAACCTTTTTGGTATTGCAGTTGGACAGTAGAAAACACTGCTCAATTTGGGGGGGGGAGGAGGAAATTTCAGCAAGGTCTTTTTATTCTGTATATGGTTCTCCAACTTGGTGAGAGGTATTGACTGCTCTCTTTTGTCTCACGAGAAAAATACTAAAGAATGGACAACTATTAAATTATTATTGTTTGCAGCGAAAAAACCCTTTGCTTACATGAGTTATTTAAGTTCAAAAGGGCATAAATCGGAATTAACTTTTATTTAACTAAAAATTATCTCAAGGTGAGTATCAGGTTTATTCTATTTTTACAGCTTTACTCCGTTATAACAAAGTACTAATAACAGTAGTATTTTCGTGTTATCTACATGGATTTTAACTGGGTATTTTTAAAACTTTAAAACAGCTATAGATGTTTTGTTAGTAAACTATAACTACATAAATATGAACTCTTGATTTATTTCCAGTTTAATATATAGGTATACTGTGATATAAGTTCTGTTTATTATGTTTGTATTATGTTGGTATAGTTATTTTGAGTAACCTCGCCTGGTTAACTAGTTACTAGCCGGTCCTAAGCCCCGGTAAAAAGTGAAGGTTGGGCATAGGGCTATAAAAACCCTACCCAGTGAAACTAATCAATCGCTAAAGAAACAGACAAAATACAAAAATTAAAAATAAACTTATTCCTCGCTGGAATCAGACAGACGAAATGACACCGATTGATGAAAGCTTTCGGGAAGCCAATTGGCCGATCTGGCTTCTCTCAATGAAAGCGAAAGTAAGGATGGGGACATGGAATGTCTGCACTATGTTTGAACCTAGTAAGGCTGCTCAGATTGCAAAAAAGATGAGAAGGTATAGCATAGAAGTGATAGGAATCTGCGAAAGCAGGTGGAATGGAAGTGGACTCTCCAGACTGTCAACTGGAAAGTCAATAATCTACTCCGGTCACCCAGATGATAACCATGACCACACTGAGGGAGTGGTTATCATGGTGTCTCCGAGAGCATAGAAGGCTCTCATGCAGTGGGAGAAGACCATTCGGGGACATCATGCGCCAAGCACTCGAGTGAAACCAAGAAAGGAAACGGCTAGTTGAGCGTCCGAAGCAAGGGTGATATGGAGGAGATTGTGTGAGGATGAAATGAAAGGTTATGGGCAGTCGTGGAGCCGGGTTCAAAAGATTGTAGACAACATAGTAGAGTGGAGACGTGCTACTGGAGATGCATGTTCCACTAGGAACCCAAGGGACAAATAATAATAATAACAGTCAATTTGAAGGAGTGAGAACTTTCAGGGGATATGACAAATTTTTTTGACGGAATATGTACGATCCTCGTGAAACGATCATATGGTGTCAATGAACGTACTTCTTGTAAAACGGATTTCTGTTTATTCTAAATGCAAAGTTTATGCAGTCATGCAAACACATCAGTAACGGCTCATTTTTTGTTGGAGATTAGTGAATAAGACTGCAGTATGAACATTTATTGGTCAGTTAAGGGTAATCAATTTCATGATGTCTAGGCTCTAATAGCTCAGTGCTAAGATTCTGACTGCGGCACTGTTTAACACAGATTCTAATCTCTGAAGGAACATCAGTTCCCTTGACATTGCAAATGTGCCTTGTTGATAAGTGCCAAAAAAAGCACGAAATCTAGATCAAGGATTTCCTGCCGATTGCTTGCAACCAGCTAATGTCAACTATTGCATGTTTTTTAGCCGAATTGTAGGGTTCAAGTGGGATTTGTCGAGCCAAACAACAGGAAAGTTTTTTGGATGCGTAAAATATTGTTTTACATATAGATAAGTGCATATGAAAGTGGGATATGGAGTTTAGATTGAACTTACTCTAATTTGTATTTTGAAGAAAGTAAACCACACATAAACTTTCATCATGGACTGATATCAACCAAAAGCCATTAAGAATCAAGGAGTAATGAAAGACTTTTGTGCCGAAAACTAATTAAACAACTTAGGGTTCACTAGTAACTACGTCGTAGATAGGTTTTCTGAAGTTCAGATGGGAGACTATATATTATAGGGTCAACAAATCAGACGTGATCATAGATATCATCCGTTGACATGGGATGATGGCTGCACAGAACAAACAATCAATGGAGGTTAGAAAGTTTGAACCATCGTACTGTAAATTAGTGACAAATTAATCCCATCGGTAACCTCTAAGCTACACGTTATAAGGGGTAGCAGTTGTGCAGTGCTAAGAAGTTCAAAACTAGAATAAAATAAATGTAATGTTTCTTGGATTTTTCAAAAGGGTTCGAATACAGAATCTTCAACGTCTTAAAATACTTGAAAGGATATATTCTTTAATGTTGACAATGTGGCTCATTTTACACTTGAACTTACACCAATGGGTTCCGAGTTCAAACATCACTCCAACTACTTTAACCTGGGTAGCCAGGTAGTATTGTAAACGTTCACATAATCAATGTGTCTCATAACCTGGTACATAAAGATGCACTGATTTCAGTTTCATAACATTATTTGATGATCAGTTTCCATCCATTTTCATTATGCGTTAATGATACAACTTCTTTAGTTTGAAACAATTCCTATTGTTATGTGAGTTCGATTTCAGCCTGACACAATTAAAATCACATTTAAATTCAATTACCTTGCATCTAGTTTTTATTATGAACTATCATTACCCAGGCTGGCTTCAGGAAGTACAAATCATCTGCGGACCAAATTGCAACGCTTCACATCATCATAGAACAGAGCCCAGAATAACAGTCAACCCTTTTCCTCAACTTCATTGACTTTGAAAAGACCTCTGACAGCGTCGATCGGGAATACCACGGAATACCACAGACCTTTATCCGCCTGATTCAACAACTATATGAAGACGCCACGCGTTAAGTAATTCACGATGGGAAGCTCAGTGATGCTTTTGCAGTGAAGTGAAGACAGGAGTAAAACAAGGCTGTCTACTATCACCGATGATATTCCTGATTGTAGTGGACTGGATCATGCAACAGACAGTGAGGAACGAGAAGAGGAGGATACGCTGGACCGGGGGAAAGATCCTAGAAGATTTGGATTTCGGCAGTCATGACTTGTGTCTGATGTCACACAAACTCGGAGATCTACAGGCGACAACTAACAAGTTGACAGAAGAAGCGGGGCAGTGAAGGGAGACGGGACTTCAAGTGGATATAGAGAAGACAGAGGTAATGAAGATACCCAACCAACAACACCACCACCACCAACAAGCTCCAATCACCATCAACGATAGAAACTTAAAGGAAGTAGCCTCTTTCACCTATCTAGGCAGCACTGTCTCAACTACAGGACGTCAAAGCCAGCCATGATCGGAAAAGCAAGACAGGCCTTCATTAATTTGAAACCAGTGTGGAGATCTTCTGCACTGCACTCAGCATAAAGCGTGAACAAGATCTGGATTTTCAACACCAACTGAGTCAAGTCAGTGCTTCTATATCGTTGAGAGATTTGGCGCTTTACGAAAGGTATTTCCAACAAACTACAGATATTCATCAACAACTGTCTACGCTGGCTCGTTACTGAAGATCAGATGGATGGCCAGAAAGAATAAGTAACAAGGAACTCTGGCTGACAACGAACCAAAGAAGCAAGAACATATTGCTCAACAAATATGCACTGGAAGGCAGTGAAGATGGATTGGGCATGCACTGAGAAGTCCGATTGGGGATACCACGCTCCAGGCACTCGAGTGGAACCCAGTTAGGAAACGGCGAGTTGAGCTACCGAGGCGAGGGTGACATAGAGGAGATAATATGAGGAAGAAAGGAGAGCTTGTTGGCGGTCGTGGAATCAGGTTGAAAAGATTGCAGAGAACAGAGTGGGATGGATATATATACTACTGAAACCCCTATGTTCCACTAGGAACCCAAGAGATAAGTAATAAATAATTATATATGTACGTGCATATATTCGGTGCACTTGGAACACAGAATGACCACTCTTTAACATTTTGAAAATGTTAAGGATTTTGACACCACGATAAAAAGACGTGATTTGTCTGAATCGTGTAGTGTATTTACTTAACAGATTTCGAACAATCAGATTACACACTTGTTATCTGGCTTTTTTATCAAATATCTTAGAGTTAAATGTGAAGACTATATTGAAGGTAAAAATAATAATGAAAATAAATAAGAGGATAACAATTAAAAGTAATAGAA